ATAAGTAGCATTAGTAGCAGTAGTACTAGGAGTAGCAGTACTTGGAATAGAAATTGTATGTCTAATTGTATTAGTAGTAGAAATCGAAGTAGCGCTGGCAGGAATGGTAGCAGCAGCAGCAGCAGCAGTGAGTAATAATAGTAGTAGCGGTAGTGGTAGTTGTTGTAATAGCAGTTGTTACTTTGAATTGAAAGCAACCCCTTTTTCACTGCCCACAGTCTTTGTCCTTATAATAGCAAAGAATTTCCAAGTTTATTAAGTTTATTATCTATTACACTGATTATTTTAGATTTACATTGGTAATGCACTGACGATGAATTGGCTTTAGAATGTTAAGCCTGTTTGACTAAGCCAAAAACTAAACAGAAAGCTTACAAATTGGATTGAAAAGTACAAAGTAATTTGCAATAACTCGAGAAAAGAAATATATAACAATGGAAAAAATCAATCATATGTGATAACGTACCGAAGCACATTATTAGGTTTCTTGTCCTATACAGTATAAATCGTTTTAGTTATTGTCGTGAGCTTACAGAGCATTCGCTTTTTCTGCTGTTCATGTTTCTGCTTCATATTTCTGTCTCGGGGGTTTCAGTAACCTCACTGTCTGGAGCCTGTGTCCCCTCTGGAGCTTCAGTCCCTGCTGGAACTTCAGTCCCTTCTGGTGCCTCTGGCTCTTCAGTTGCACCTAATGAATACATTTTTACAATAAAAAAGGGTGAGATTATCACTTGTTACCACTTTCACTATCGCTGCCAGTTCACCCCCACGGGAGCCTGTGTAGAAGTCAGCTCTCTGGGTTTTCATTCATTCAGTGTCTTTATCTTTCGTAGCTTTAAAGGAGTGATGGGCTCCTGTATGCGTGACATGTACGTGCATGCATTTCACTTCTCCTTGACAATAAACGTGGAAACTGCTAAAGGAATTATGAATTTTGATCAGCCTCCTACATATTCATCGAACGCTGACTTCTGCCCCAATTGGCTCATATGGCTTGACAAGACACAGCACTATGCCGAAGAAAACTGTTGCATTCATTTGGCTCTTTTAGGGTAAATGCTAAGTAAGCGGATACGTCTAATAGGTTCTATTTGCTTAAATGAAATGAAAACTGTAATCATACGATTATGAAAAATCTTGTTCCTTCACTTTAGTTTATTACATGACCAGTTGGTGGCATCGACGTACTGAAATTGTTTTGTTACTATCTAATCAATCTTTTCATGTAACAATGCTCGTTTACGTGAAAGTGTATCTGCAGTCTTAAAAACATGTTGATAACAGAGGGAAACACAGATTGTAGTATTAAAATTATTTCGGATTAGACAATATCGAATATTGTTGATGTTTACAATGTTTCTCTGAAAAACAAAAAAATTGTCTTTCCTTTCCGTCTTTCTTGTTTTCGCAAAAATTATCTGTTTTTATTATCGTCTTTTTTTTTTAGAACCACAATTTTTTTAAACCGAGGTTCTCCCTCATTTATCCAAAATGTCAAGTTGAATAAAATTCAGAAGTTTACGTAGTCTCGCAAAGGTTATACCTGTAAGAGTTAAAAATACCGGTAAATATTCCACAAAAGTATGAACTGTTTAAAGCCTTATTAGCAAATTGCACTTCTATCATACCCAAAAGGAATAAAACTTTGACATCAGCTACAGAGAGCTCGAGATTAGTTCTAAACTGGAATTCAAACCCAAACAAATTAAAATTCAAATATTTCATATTGAGTTGAACTTGCCTGGTGAATTAAAAGCTGCCAATTGTCCCACATAAAATGCAAGGAATAAAAGGAGCAGAATTCTAGAACACATCTTTCTCTGCAGCTATTGTCTCCTTCAGCCTTTCTTTGATAACTGAGAGAGTGACTGGTCAGTGGGGCAAGTTAGAGCTTAAAATAAGCGGCGGTACTTATTAGTTAAAAGCAGCCGTTGCAGACGTCTTGGCTTCTAATATTGTTTCGATTCAAAACTGCAATATCTATTTCTTGAAACTAGGAAAAATGAAAATAAGACTACTTACTAGTTATAAGACTAGTTACTTCTTTGCGAAATAGACATTTCTAAGAGGCAGAATATCTTCCCTCACTTGTTCACACGGTTCGAACTTCAATGTTTTTATTAAAAGATTGTTGTTTAGTGAACATTTATGGCATGAGCTATCTTGTAGGAGGAATATTTATCAATTTCTTAAGAATAATATCGGACCTCTTCCAGAGAGATAATACTGTAACTTCGTACGTGATTTTATCATTACCGGCCAAATGGTCACACGCCTATATCAGTATCTCCATGCCAGAAGATGTGATCTCGAATCCATCGTGTATGCCATAAGTTAAAAACAGCTTTTTTTTTTTTTTTTTCAAGGATTAGCTCTCGAAGATCTAAAAACTCTCATGGTGAAACACACTCCAGAGGTTATGTCATATTGTAGTCCCATATTGTATGTCATATTGTAGGGCTTGCGACGAAAAAAATATTATGAAGCACAGCCAAGAGAGTGTCATATCGTACAAAGTTTTGAACCAATCATAGCAACAAATATTTGTTAGTTTCTGGAAAAATATCCACCATATCACTGACACTCCTCGACTGTTTTCCCGAGCTCTTGATGAAGAAGAGTGATTTTCCCCACGCACAGCATTCGAGTGTATTTATTTATTTGTATTTAACAATTTGCCAAAGGCATGTAAATTTACAGGTAAATGTTATTTTAATCTTGATATTAAGCATGGAAAATGTCTTGATCTTAGTTAGAATTCATCGTTTCCTTTGGCATTTCTCGCTGCTGAGAAGGGAAAATGACCTCACCGATCACAATAAGTAAAGTAATTATCGCTTGAAAACAAACCGTAGTCCCTGTCATAGTATTACACTCTCTGCCAGAATAACCTGAGTCCATATTTATCGATTATTACTAACTATAACTTGGGGGGCGTATTGGACAACCAAACTGTTTACCCTGAACCCTCATGGCCTCAAGAATACTCGGTAAGTTACCTTTCCCTATCCCCTACCCAGATTTCAGTGAAGAGGCCAAAACACAACACAGGGAGTTACGCTCCTTACTCTTTGCGTTAGGTGTGTGGGTTCTTTAACGTCCCCTGCTAACCAGTATAGAGAAAATGCAGGAGACGGGGCCTAGGGTTTTTTCGTCCTTCTCCCAGAGGACTAGAATGTCTATCCATTTCTTGATATAACAGAAAGATACCACAATCTCCTCAGTTATTTTAAGACCCTGAGTGTTGGTGCGGTCTGGGGCTACAACCTTCGATGTCCCGCACGGCAGTCCAGCGCTCTACCACTTGAGCTAACCAGGCGGCGGAGTGACCCCTGAATTGACGTTTTCTTACATCGCATCATCCTAACTGAGTTCAAAATACTCAATTTCGTACGCGCCATAAACTTTAAAAAAACACACACATCTGTCATATATTTCCGTGTGTTGCAGTTTTGTACAATGAGACAGTCCAAAAGTATTATTGGAAAATATCTGTAAAAGCCGCTTAAACTAAAAAATGTGCTCAAGCTCCTCATGTTGTGGGAATCTTTTGGCTCGACAGCAGGACAAGAAGACTAGGTTTAAAATTCTTAGCTACTTGATGTTGCTTGCATTTTAACAGATAGTTACTCTAACAGGAAGAGGAAGTATTTTTTTAGCCAACCGAGACCTAGTTAAACTGCGGCTCTTTTTTTTTATATAATCACCGTAAAATGATACTAAACATGGAAAATGACCTCACAATAAGTAGTTATCGCTTAAAAACAAACCGTAGTCCCTGTCATGGTATTACATTCTCTGCCAGGAATAACCTGAGTCCATATTTATCGATTGTTACTTATTATAACTTGGTAGTCGTATTGGACAACCAAACTGTTTACCCTGAACCCTCGTGGCCTCATGAAAAGGCAGGAGCTTACAACAAAGACTCTCATCCGCTGTGATTGCTAATTAAGTTAATTCCGGCAGAACACCTTGACATCTTGACTCGAAAAGTTTGTAAACCACTTGGCTGCGCCTCGTGGTTTACAAACTTTTCTCGTGTTCTCCCAACATCCCGCGTGGTTTATTAGCCGGTAAACCGATAGTGTGGTTTATCGTTGATAGATACATGTATATTTAACAATTATTCGCCGAAGGCCAGGTGAATATAGTCGAATAATCCCCGAGACGAAGTCGAGGGGATTATTCGACAATATTCACCGAACCTGAGGCGAATAATCGTTTTAGTATAATTTCAGAGCTGAACAACAGAGAAAATTCTGAAATCATAACATTTTAGTAACATTTATTAACATTTTAGGTTAAAATTTTATATAAACCGCGCGGAGCGGTTTATATAGCGTCATATGAGGAACCGCTCGACCAATCAGATTGCCGGAAACTCTTTGTTCAGCTTTGAAGTTATACTAAATATATATATATATATATATTTAGTATATATATATAGGAAAAATCTTGGGATTGGATTCCAAAATACCCAGATGTTTTTTAATGATGCGACTTACATCAGGTAAATTTGGATTAAATGTGGTCACAAATGGGAATAATTTCCTCTTAGATCTGGCATGAGTCCTAAGTAGATCACTTCTAGGTATGGTAGAGGCCTTACGAAACTGGTCGTCCACTAATTTGGAAGGGTAACCCTGAGTAACCAGATAACCCTTGTATTCGGTTATTCTCTGGACAAGAAAAGCTTGTTCGGAGCAATTTCTTTGTAACCTCGTCGCCACACTGTAAGGAATAGCTTTGAAAACGTGTTTAGGATGAGCACTTGATGGTGGGAGATACAGGTGACTATCAGTTGGCTTTGAGTAAACGTCTGTCCTAATAAAACCCTCGATAAGATGTGGAGTTAAATCTAGCACATGGAGCTCTCGTTCGGAAGAAACTAATTCGAATTTTATAGTTGGATACAAGGATTTTATAAATTCAGTAAACTCAAGCAGTGCCGGAAGGCCTTGTTGCCAGAGATCAAAAACATCATCACGGTATCGCCACTACAAAGCCGGCTTTATGTGGCCAGAGAACTTAGCCTGAAAATCGATTTCACCCATGGCAAGATCTGCATAACTGCAAGCGTTCTTAGGGCCCATGGCTGTGCCATGAACCTGTAGAAAGAAGTTTTCTCTGAAAACCGAATGATTGCTCTTCAAACAAAATTTATACGCTTGTAAAATGCAATTAGTGGATGAAAGCTTATTTTCTCTGGCATTCAGTGCCCTCTTCACTGCAGTAAGACCGAGTTGATTATCAATGTTAGAAAACATTGAGACAACATCCCATGAAACCAATAGAGTGCCTTCGGGAAAAGGGCTATTCCGATTAAACTCCTCAATCTTGTTGAGCAGATCGGTGGTGTCTTTAATGTACGCTGGTAATTTACGAGCTAATGGTTGCAAGTAAAATTCAGTGAAGCCCGAGAGATTTTCTATTGCGGTACCGCAGCAAGACGTGATGAGTCTAGGTGGGTTCCCTGCCTTATGGGTTTTGACATTTCCGAAGGCAAATCCTGGTTTTGCTTCCTTGTTAATTATGCAATTAACTACTTCGTTTGAAATTTCCCCTTTTCTGACCCATTTGTCACACCAGCTCTCAACTAAAGTCAAATGTCTAATTTTCCGTGTCGCTTTCGCGTTCCCAGCACGGCAGACACGGGGTGTAGCGTAATTGGGTTCGCCGGGTCAAACCACCATGAAGTACAGGACGGACAGAAGACTCTTACACATGTAATCAGGCTAGCCGACTTGTTACAGCACTTGCGGTGAAAACTAAAAAGGAATGCACGATTGTTTAAGCTAAGGAAACGAGCTAAACTACAAATTTGACGACAAAAAACACAACTAACGATCGTGACTTACGTCTGATCTTGGCTCCGGGAATGAGAAAACTCCAAGTTTTAAAAAAAATCCGTAAAACTCCCCTTTACTCCAGGGACAACTCCTTAAAACTAAAATGTTCGCGTGAAAAAAGGCCTAATATACTCCTATGAAGTAAAGAAAACTCAACTGAAACAACTCTTCGTGCAGCTAGCCAAAAAAGGATATTTTATAATCACGTAATCAAAACGAAACAAGGCTATATTTTAAGAAAACAAAAAGTCATATAATGTTCTAAAGCGTTCTTTGTTCTTTGATAGTTACAGTGCTCGATGCCTAAAATTATAGCGCGATATATGTTGCCTTAGGAAAATACAAAGACTATGCTTTCATCCCTACAAGCCCGTTTTGCGATTACTCACTCATCAAGGAATTTTATATTTTATATTATAAAAACTAATAATTAGAGGGCATATATATGTGTGCTGACTCTAGGATGGAGGTAAAGCCATGTACCCATTCCAAATGATTCCACGTTTGTGGTATCATCTGGGCATGCCAGAGTGCTCAGACCAGTACCTAGTGAGCATCGCGCAATCGCCTAACATGACCCATCCTTGTAGAGTGCTCAATTTGGACATGAAAGTAAAGCTTTGTAATGCCAAAGAGCTGTATACGTAAAAAATCTTGGAGTAACAGAATGCTCTACACTCGTGGAGCTATGAAATTAAATAAATAACGAAAGTGAAATTATAACATTGCACTACAGAACTTTTTCAAAAACAGAGCTGTTTAAAAAAAGTCGGATGGTCCTTCTCCTGAGGTGCATGAAACACTAACCAACTAAGGTACTCTTTACAAGATGATGGTTCAAGCATGCTTCACATGTACTTGCTAGCATGCCGGCACGCGCTCGACAGTCCGTTCCTTTTGTTTAGGGTACCTGCCCCTTGATTGCATATGATAAAGATTTTTTTTCATCATGTCGGGCATAGGTTGTATCTTAGATAGGGTCTGGTACGAGCCACCTTTTCCAGGTCATACCAAATCAAGTGTTTGCAGCCTCTAAGGACTAGATTTGTTGGCTCACTTCGGTTGCCTCAGTACAAAAATTTGAATAGGGGTAATAAAAGTCTTAAACGTAATCGAAGTGGTGGTAGCAGTAGAATTAGCAATAGTAGTATAAGGGGTAGAACTCACAGTTAGTAGATGTAGTAGTAGTAACAGTAAAAGGAACAGTAGTAGAAGCAGCAGTAGTAGTAGTAGCAGTAGTCGTAGTAGTAGTAGTAGTAGTAGTAGTAGTAGTAGCAATAGTCGTAGTAGTAGTAGTAGTAGTAGTAGTAGTAGTAGTAGTAGCAATAGTCGTAGTAGTAGTAGTAGTAGTAGTAGTAGTAGTAGTAGTTGTAGTAGTAGTAGTAGTAGTAGTAGTAGTAGTAGTAGTGGTAGTAGTAGTAGTAGTAGTAGTAGTAGTAGTAGTAGTGGTAGTAGTAGTAGTAGTAGTAGTAGTAGTAGTAGTAGTGGTAGTAGTAGTAGTAGTAGTAGTAGTAGTAGTAGTAGTGGTAGTAGTAGTAGTAGTAGTAGTAGTAGTAGTAGTAGTGGTAGTAGTAGTAGTAGTAGTAGTAGTAGTAGTAGTAGTGGTAGTAGTAGTAGTAGTAGTAGTAGTAGTAGTAGT